ATCGGTTGATGTGGTGCAAAGTTATGCGGTTACATACATTAAAATAAAAAAAAAAAAAAAATATTCCGCCGAACTGATAACCTCCTCCTTTTTTGGAAGTCGGTTAAAAATTACTTGTTCTTCTACCAATTCCTCTTCGTCCTTCGATTTTCCCTTGTATCAGAAGTTGTTACAAATCGTATTTGCTTAGATAGATAGATAGATTTGTTAGAGGATGTGCACTGCGACCTTAGGTCTATTGTGCCCTCGGAGCTCATCACAACACCTCGTCCAGCCCCAGTGCTCTGATGAAACCGAGCAGTTTCGAGGGCTGTAGAGAGTGAATGTCTGAAGCCTCGGGCCACAGCTTCCCCAAGTGTGTTTGCCTTCTTCTCGACACCGCGTCACATTCTAAGATGATGTGCCGCGGGGTTTCTGGGACCCTGTCGCAATAGCGGCAGGAATCGTCTGCGCTAATCCCTAAGGTATGCATATGGGCCCGCAGCCTGCAGTGACCAGTTAGCAGTCCTGTAATAAATCTTAAATTAGTCTTGTTGAGTGTAATTAGTTCTCTGGATCTTCTGGGATTATAGCTTCCTAGAAGTTCTTTCGCCTGCCTTAGTCCAGGCGTATTCTTCCAATGTGTTCTGATCAGGTTTCGTTCCTCTATTCTTAACTCTTCCCTGATAGTGTGAGGACCAACTGCAAGGAAGGGTTCTGGTCCTATGGGTCGAGTGGCTGCTGCTTCCCTAGCGAGCTTGTCAGCATCCTCGTTGCCCTGTACGCCTGTATGGCCCGGGACCCACATCAGCTGTACTGTGTTGAGTTCCCCCAGGGCGTTTAGTCTCTTTACACATTCCCATACCAACCGTGAATTAATTTCACACGACGATACGGCTCTCAGTGCAGCCTGACTGTCGCTGCATATGACAATGTGCTGTTTTCTCGGTTGTCTCTGCAGAATTACCTCCGCACAAATGTCTATGGCAAAAACCTCCGCCTGAAAGATACTGGGATATTTCCCCAGGGGAATGGAGATATTGGCTTGGGGGCCATGTACTCCTGCCCCTATCCCTTCGTCAGTTTTGGAGCCATCTGTGAACCACCTTTGGGTATGGGGCCGAAAGGTGTTATCCAACATTGTCTCGTTCCAGGTTGCCTTGCTTCCTAGTACGGTTCTAAACTTTTTCTCGAAGGTTCTTAGCCTAACCATGTCGTCTCTATTGAGCTGGGAGATAGGAATCTTGCTTTTGATTTCCTCTCCGAGTCTGCTCGAGATCACCTTGCCTTTACCAGTGCCCTCCCTCATGAAGTTTAGGAGGGCTTTTTTGGCGGTTTGTTCTATGACTATGTGTAGTGGCGACAGGTCCAAGATTACCTCCAGGGCTGCAGTGGGACATGTGCGCATGGCACCTGTTATACAAGTGCACGCCAGTCGCTGCAGCTTGGAAAGCGACGCCCTTACCGTGTGGAGGGCAGCCCGCTCGGACCATGCCACTGCTCCATATGTAACTATTGGCCTGACAATCATTGTGTACATCCATCGTAGGATGTAGGGGCTGCACCCCCATGATTTGCCGGCCAGTCTCCTGCACACCATTAAAGCTCGTGTGGCTTTTGTTACAGCGTACTCAGTGTGCTTATTCCATAGCATTTTGCTGTCGAAGATGACTCCTAGATACTTAACTTCATTACATATTTCTATCTCTATGCCCCCTAATGTTATAGGGTGCATGCCTGGAAGGTTTCTTCTCCTAGTAAAAGTAATAATGGCTGTTTTGGCGGGGTTTATGTTAAGGCCCACCGTGCCACACCATCTTTTAGTTAGGATAAGTGCTCTTTGTACAATGTCGCAGAGGGTGCTTTCAAATTTGCCCCTCGCTATAATTACTATGTCGTCCGCATATCCTTGGCACAAAATGCCGTTGTTGGATAGTAACTCAAGTAGTTCGTCTACTAGTATACTCCAAAGCAGGGGCGACAGTACGCCCCCCTGCGGGCAGCCTTTTACCGTCATCAACTGTATGATTTTATTGTCAGCTACGGTCTCTGCCAGTTTTGTTCGCAGCATTGTACTGATCCATCTTCGGATCGGGATGTCTACGTTCCTTCTCTCTAGAGCTCGATCTACTGCCTCGTGTGAGGTGTTATCAAAGGCTCCTTCAATGTCTAAAAATGCACAAAGTGTTACCTCCCCCCCCTCAAGTGCATTCCGTATGGTAGATGACAGCTGGAACAGCGCTGTATCCGTCGATCTACCTGCACGATAGGCGTGTTGCCCATGATGCAACGGCAATGATGTCAGGGTGGTGGACCTTATGTGGTTGTCTATGATCTTCTCCATTGCCTTAAGAAGGAATGATGTTAGACTAATCGGGCGAAAAGATTTCGCCAGCGAGTAGTCTTTCTTGCCTATTTTAGGAATGAATTTGACACAGGCTCTCCTCCACGACTTTGGGAGATACGCAAGTGCCAGGCTTTCCCGCATGATTTTGATTAAAATCGGGGTAAGCAGGTCCAGTTCTTTCTGGAGTAAAATCGGCCATAAGCCGTCCACCCCAGGGGTCTTATAGGGCTCAAACGAATCGATGGCCCATCGTACGGTCGACCAGGTGAATAGGCATTTTGCCGTCTTCCAGTCCTCCGAGGCCGGCTTATGGTATTCATCACTATCCTCTGCTACCGGAGTCAATGCTCCTGGGAAGTGTGTTGTCAGGAGGGCCAGGGCCCTCTCTTCCTCACTTTTGGTGTAGCTGCCGTCTGGTAGTTTTAACGCCATATGATTTTCACCTGTACCTCTAGCTAGTGCTCTGTGCAATCTGGCAGCCTCCGGGGTGGAGGTGATGCCTTCACAGAACAATCTAAAGCTGTTTCTCTTGGCTTCGCGGATCGCTTTGTTATAGGTGGTTAGGGCAGACAAATAGTCATCCCAATTCCCAGTACGTTTCGCGCGGTTAAAGAGTTTTCTGACCTCTTTCCGGTGACCTGAGAGGTTGGAGTTCCACCATGGGTTTCTATTCTGCCCTTTTGGTGAAGTCAGCCGGCAGCTTGATGTATAGGCATCCGTTATTGCCTCATTTAGGCTGCCGACCTTCGCCTCCAATTCCACCCACCGCTTAGCCCTGTTCTCTACGTTTGTGGTGGTTAGGTTTGCCTGTAATAGTCTGTGATAGCTGTTCCAGTCGGTCCTCCTAGGATTCCTACTGGGCGTGGCTCTATTCATGGAGATCTCTAGGGAAAACTGTATAATCCTATGATCCGACATTGTGGGCTCCGAGGAGACCCTCCAGTCCGAGATCAGATTATCCACCCAGGTGTTCCCAAGAGTAACGTCCAGAACTTCCTCTCTTACCCTAGTTACAAAAGTGGGCTTATAACCTACATTGCAAATACTAAGGTCCTTACTTAATATAAAGTCAAGTAGAAGCTCACCCCTTTTATTGGTGTCAGTGCTGCCCCACTGTACATTATGTGCGTTGGCATCACATCCAATAACCAATGGAAGGCGCAGTTTCTCGCTGTACTCTACAAGTCCTCTGACTTCCTCCGGTGGTATGGCGGCATCCCCTGCGAAGTAAGCCGAAGCAAAAACTACCTCTCTTGCTTGTCCGTGGAGATTTACCGTTAGTTGGATAGCCACCAGATCTCTCGTTAAAAACTCTGAAATGCAGAAGTAATTAGTCTCCTTCTTTAACATAACACAGGCTCTTGGGTTATCACATGCCAAATCCCAGATTACCTTGATAGATTTCTCCGTCAGGCCCTTCACCTGACCTTTATACACCCACGGCTCTTGGACTAAGACTATGCCCAGATCCTCCGAAGTGAACTTCTTTGTGATGACTGCAGATGCAGCTACCGCGTGGTGGAGGTTAATCTGGGCAATCCTAAGGCGTGGTGTTGTCCTCATTTTTTACTCTGGACCATCGGCTCGTCTATCTCTGAGAGCGTTAGGTCCTCCAGTTCTCTGCCAGGGCTTTGAAGGTTCAAGCCTTCTGCCAGCTCCTCCAGCTCCCTGGTCGACGGCACGTTTTGTTGAGCTGCCCGTCCTGTCGTCTCCGTCGTCGCGGTGGCAGCCGCGGAGGTCAAAGGCCCTTCCACGCGGTGCTCGTCGACAGTTTTGTCTCTATCAATTGCTGTCGATGAGGCAGCTGCGGAGGTCGAAGGCCCTTCTACGCACTGCTCATCGACGGCCATTGCCATGCCTGTTGATGCCTCACCTGTTGGCGTCGTGTGGGCAGCGTCCCCAGGAATTCTCTGCTTCCATGGCTTGACGAGGACGTTCCCGTACCTGTAATTGAGCCTAAAACTCTGCCGTCTCATGCTACAGAAGGAGTCTTCATCGACAGCCACATTCAGCCGTAGGTAGCCGTCCTCAACTTTTGCCTCCATGACTCTCCAGAGTGATGTGTTGAGGCTCTCGTTCTGAGCTCTCAGGAGACCCAGTGCATAGTCCTGGCCCCTGTCTATGCTCCATGGGAGGAAGATGGTGACATTATGGGTTGGTGGTATGTCATCTCCGCTCCTGGTGTAAAGCGCCGGCCCTTCCCACCCATTGAGCGACGGTACTGTCTGTCTCAGCCATTCGGCAGTTGCCTCGTCTCTGCAGTCCACCAATAGCAGGCCCGGTCTGAAGTAGACGCCCGTAAAAATAAGTGGGCGGGTCCACCCCCTCAGAACCTCATCCATAATGATGTCCTGCAGTGATGTTAGTTGCTCTGGAGTGAGAGACATGGCGGGGTACTCTTGGGGTAGCACCGCTATCCTTGTTGCTCTCATTGCGTCTGCGTAACTTGATTGCTGGTTCTGGTTAGCAGCTCCGTGCTCGTCTTGTCTATGGCCCCTCCTCCGATCGCTGTTTCTCAGAGGCGACCCCGGCGGGTGACCTCTACGCTTTGCAGGTTGCCTTTTTGTTGCTGTTGGCACACGTTGGTTGCCGGTGGTTTTGGCAGCTGGGGCTTCTTGCTGTACCGGTCTCGCGGCTCGGCTCCGCGCAGAGTCAGGACTCATGCCTCTTGCCAGGTATCGAAGGTAGCGTGCTACTCCAGCGCCGCTGAGACCTCTTCTACGTGGGTCGTCTCGTGCCCCTGGTTTCCCTGGATCGGGGGCTGCTGGTCCGCGCCGACGTTTGGGTGCTCTTTTTTCCCCTTGTTGGTCTGCGCTGCTCGCTTGTATACCGGTGTGAGCGTTGGGCGAGGTCATGCGGCCCTCAGTCCGTCCTCCATCAGCTGTGCGTTGTGTAGTGCGAGAGGGCGAGGTCTTACGGCCCTCGCGCCCGTCTCTTTCGTCCGTGCGGTGATGCGTGTGATGTGGCGAGGTCATTCGGCCCTTAGGCCTGCCCTCACCCTTCGTGTGCTGGTGCGTGCGCTGAGGCGAGGTCTTGCGGCCCTCAAGCCTATTCTCCTCGTTAGGGTTGTGTTGCGTGTGGCGAGGTGGGGAGGGGGATCGACTGTTTATATCCCTGGTGTGCGCAAGGTGGTGGACACAAGGCGGCGTGGATCCTCTGCTGTCAATATGACGCTGTTTGGCGTTCAGTTGTTGCTGATTTCGTGTAGGCGAGGTTCTAATGCCCTCGAGCCTACCCCATGAGGTTCCATGCTCGCGTGCATATGCTGGCGAGGTTGTCCTGCCCTCAAGCCTGTTGTTACCACCCGCCTGTTTGTGTTGCTTGCGGTGTGTTGCGATGGTCCAAAGCCCATCTGAGCTGCTGTCGGAGTCGGCATCCGGGTGCTTGCGGTTGAGTCTCCTTGCATACGCAGACCGTGACTGCGGTTCGGAGTGATGATGGGAGTGCGAAGGCGAGGTCATCTGGCCCTCAAGCCTCCTGCGATCAATTCCGTAAAGCTGCGCTGCGCCAAGGGAGGAGTTCAATCTACCCTCTGGCTTTCTACGTGGGTCTTCGCGTCGATGATGGTCGCGATAGGGCGAGGTCGTTCTGCCCTCCAGCCCTCCGCGCGTGTCTTCCCATAGCTGGTTGTCGCCATATGTTGACGTCAGCCTGCCCTCGCTCCTCAATTGTTGAGGTTGAGATCCTATTTGCGGCATGGCGAGGGGAGGCGAGGTCATACTGCCCTCTAGCCTCCTGTGTGTGGGCAGATGGCGTTGTTCGTCGCGGTGGTCGCGGTAGGGCGAGGTTCTTCTGCCCTCTAGCCCTCCGCGCGTGTCTTCTTGTTGCTGAAAGTCGCGGTATGTTGAGGCCGGCCTGCCCCCAATCATTGAGTGCTGGGACACCATGTGCTGCGTGTTGAGGGGAGGCGAGGTCGTATTGCCCTCTAGGCTCCTGTGCGTGAGCAGTTGACGCTGATTACCACGGTGGGGCGAGGTCGTTTTGCCCTCAAGCCCTTTGTGCGGGAAGTCATAGGCCCGGGCGTGTTGGGGCGCTTTTTCCGCATGTTTGGCAGCCAGTTTCCTGTAGTTGATGTCTCGGTGGTGGGCTGGCCGTTTCCGTTGGGATCCAGCAGTGAGGTTGGCATCCGAGCTGCTATCTGAGTCGCTTCTTGGTCGTCTGCGTCCTCCCGTTCTCTTGCTTGCTGGTGAGGGCTCGCTTGCCGCAGGCTGTTTGTCAGCGCTTCTCTCGGCGGGTATGTGCCGCATGCCGACGGTAGGTGGGCTCAGTTGCTGGTTAGTGGACCAGGTTTTGTTCACCTCGGTGTTTCGCCGGTCTTTACCCTCTGCTGGGTTCTTCAGGCTTTTGCTGGTGCTCGTCTTGTCTGCATTGGTGGGGGGCTGTAGCCCTCTCGTTTGGCCTGGTCTGCCTCTACTGGTTGAGGGGCGGTCATCGTCTCGGGCGTATTCTGCGAACAGCTCGGCTTCTTCTGGCGTTAAGTCTTTCAGGCTATCCAGCCATTTTGTTTGTTTTTTGTTTGTGTTTTTATTCTTTTTGTGGTTCTTCATCTTGTTCGTACGACCACCTTCTTGTCGAGGCAAGTTCAGTGGTCTAAGTATAATAGCGGGGATCTCATATCGTCCGCCGTGGTAGCGCCCCTTGCCACGGTAAGGCCACCGTTACTCCCTGAGGCGGCCCGGTGTCAGGAAGGCGCCGTTATAATACAGCCGGATTGTTAACCCCCCTGGCTGCAAACCCTCCAATGGGCACGGTGTCGCATTACACCCTGGATTAGGGGGGGGTGGCAGTTCTTGGTCACTGTCCATCAGCGGGTCGCACCAGGGCAGTGCAGCGCGCCCGTACCATACCCGAGAGGTGCTGATGCGTGCGTGCTGACACCTCCTGATGCGTCCCGATTGATGATTCAGCTAAGCCCCCGCACCAACGACAAGGTGCCTGCCCTAGCGGAGGATCGTATTTGCTTCCTCTTATATGTCCGAAATATGCGACTTTTCTTTTTAACCGACTTCCAAAACAGGAGGAGGTTATCAGTTCGTCGGAATATTTTTTATTTTTTTTTTTTTGTTTATGTGTGTTACCGCATAACTTTGGACCACGTCAACCGATAATTCTTATTGCAACGGAAAGGTAGTGTCTCAGAGGTGGTCCCATACTAATTTGGTTTAGATCCAATGATTGGGTCATGAAATATTTAAATATATATATATTTTTTAAGTCGGTTTTGTTTTTGCTAAAAATTACTTGTTTTAATATGTTTTCGTATGCCTCAGGTAGTTTGGGCCATGTTGTCACAGTGTCATTAGATATCTTGTCAGTCCAACTTATTCTTAGCATTTTCCTATAGCACCACATTTCGAATGCTTCCAGGCGGTTTATACTCGGGGCTCTCAGGGTCCAAACTTATCATCCATATAATAGTGTCGACCATACGTAGCATTTAAGAAGTCTCGTCTTTAACCTTATTGGCACGTCCCGATTTGTCAGTAGCTTCTTAATAGCTACTTCAATCCAGCTTTTTATTTCGCAATCATGGTCCCATCGGTCGTTTAGCCAGATCCCCAAGTATTTATATTTTTCCACCATTTCTATGTTTTTATTGTCTATTATTAGTCTGTCATTATAATAGTCTTTACTGCTCTTATTTACTATAATGAATTTTGTTTTGTCAATGTTTATATTTAGCCCAAATGATTTGCTGCTTTGTCAATAATTCTTTGGAGATCGTGGAGATTATTTGTCACTAGTGTTGCATCGTCTGCATATCGGATATTATTTACGTATGTTCGGTTAATTTTAATGCCCACATCTTTGTTGTTTGTAGCTTCTTCGAAGATTTTCTCTGAGTATACATTGAATAGTAGTGGCGATAAAATTCGAGTCGAGTGCATCGTAGTGAGCAGACGTGTGATGCAGATGATGTTTTCAGCCTCTATCAAAACACTGTGGAAAGTTTCCACACGTGGCGCTTCATCTTTTAAGACTCGATGTAATATTCGTTTTACACATTGTACCAGGCGTTCCCAACATCCGCCTGCGGATTCCATCCGGACAATTGAAATTCCACTCGATACCATCTTTAGAAACTTCTCTTTGAATTTGATCGAAGTCGAAAAGTCGTTGGTCTTCCTTAAATTCTCGTTGAGCTCCGATAAAATTAGTGCCATTATCACTTCTGATGCGGACGGGAACACCGCGACGATTGACGAAGTTTCTTAAACAAATTATAAACGCATCTGCGGACAAGTCTATGGCCACCTCAAGATGAATGGCTCTAGTCGTCAAACATGTGAATAATGCTATCCATCTTTTTTCTCGGCGGCGACCCACGTCTACGAAGAACGGGCCACAATAATCAATGCCAGTGTATGAGAATGGGCGCACGTATGGTGTCAAACGGGCAGGTGGTAGTTGACCCATAAGCGGCACAGCTGGCTTGGAGTTTTGGCGGATGCATACTGGACATTTCTTCTTCACTGTTGATAACAGAGAATGAGCTCGTGGTATCCAGTATCGCTGTCGCATTTCATTAATAGTAAGGCGGCTGTTTTGACGATGAGCTTTCCAGTGAAAATGATCCATGATCAGTACAGCTAAATGATGGTCACGTGGAATGATTATCGGGCGACGCGCTGAATCTGGCAGGCAATAAGCGGCATCGATTCGACCATTTATGCGGAGGACTGCGAATGCATCTAGCTTTGGTGTTAACTGAAACAAATGGTGGGTTTTCGGCAGCCATTTATTATCTCGTAGCAAATCGATTTCAGCTTTGTAGACTTCATATTGTACTTGACGGCATAAGTAATTCTCGGCGAGCTTCAATTCATCGGACATAAGCTCACCTTGACGACGAATTTTGGATTTAACATTGTTAATGAAGCGTAAAATCCATGCAAATATTCGAAGCAGCTTCGTAAATTTCGAATATTTGGAAATGTTCATGACATCGACGTGTTTTACTACAAGTACAGCTATCTTTTTACATTCTTCTTCATCCAGAAGCTCGGAGTGCAAGTGTTGCGGTTCTGCGGGCCATGAATCTTCATTGCCGCGTAGAAAATATGGACCTGTTATCCATCGCGAATTTGCCGAATATGCTGGTATTAAATTTACTTTTGTGGCTTCATCTGCCACATTCGCTGCTGACGGAAACCAACGCCATTGGCTAGGCTCGGTGCTTGAAAGGATCTCTGAGATCCGGCTGGCGACGAATTGCTTAAAATCCCTTTTCGTGGAACGGATCCAAAGCAAGACCGTTTTGGAATCACACCAAAACGTCACATGGTGCACACTTCGGTCTAGACACTGCTCCACCGAAGTTCGAAGGCGTCTGCCCAAAACTGCAGCTTGCAGTTCAAGCCTGGTATAGTTGTTGATCGCTTAGGGGCACATCTGGACTTAGCTACGAGGAAGGCGAGGAAAATATTGGTTGCTTTCTTCATACGCACGTAAGCCACTGCGGCATATGCGGCTTCGCTCGCGTCAACTAAGATATGTAGTTGCAACTCATCTGCGATAGAAAAACTTGGAGAAAAACACCTTGGTACGGAAAAATTTCTTACATTATGAAATGCTTGCCACCATACAAGCCACTGTGGCCGCCGATTTGTAGGTAAAGGATCATCCCAGTCTACTTGCTGTTTCCAGGTTTCTTGCAATATTAACTTGACTGCAACGGTGACATCGGCAAGCAGACCGAACGGCCATATATGCCATGGCAAGCCCCAGCAATTCCCGCTTAGTTGGTAAACGCTTACAGTCTAATACGTCACGTGGGATTTTGTGAAATTTAAAATGGAATTCCAAAACATCATCACTGGAATTCCAGTACATCCCTAACACTTTGTCGGTCTTCGGCTGACGTTCCATGTTGATAATGTCAGGTGTCGTAGGTGTCCCACGATTCAACTGGCTATGTAGCTCCTTGCAGTTAGAGACGAAATTTCGCAAATGAAATTCCGCAGCCGCATTTATAGTGATGGCTTCGTTGACAACTTCACTGGCTTCTTGGCTGCTATCGTAACTGGCTACGAGATCATCCACGTAGGTGTTTTCAGTTACGGCTTTAACACCTCGTATTGTGTGTGTATTCGGCACAACAAGGAGAGCAGGCTGCACCAAAAATCATGGATGTCATCACATACACCTGGATTGGTTGTAACTGGTCTCCATGCCTCCACAAAAAACGTTGTGACTGTCTGTCTTCTGCTCGTATCTTTACTTGAGAGAACATCTCTTGTATGTCCCCAGTGATTGCAACTGGACGCTGGCGAAACTTTACCATAATCGCCATCAACGATTGTGCACGTTCTGGGCCCTTCATCAGTACTGAATTCAAGGAAATATTTGAGACGGATACCGCTGCGTCGAATTTCTGCGATATAGTTTTTTGCATAAACTGGATCTTTGGCCATTTTGTTTTCGACGTTGATTAGTCTTCTTTTTGCCATTTCGTAGCTTTGAGGTAGCTCGACGTTATCTTCACGCCATAACAAACCCACTTCGTAACGATGGCCAATATTTTTGGTAGTCTTCTCTAGTATCTTTCTTGCTCTCAGATCTTCCTCTGACTCAAGGGGAATATTTGGCTTCTGGACGGCGATACTGTGTACTCTTGCACGAGCTGTAACTGTTGTGTTGTAAATTGATTTCGTATGTGAAGAATGTTAGATGTAGAACAACCTCTGGTGTGCGTAGGGCCATATGCAACCCAACCTAACTTGGTAGTGACGGCGATAGGTTCATTTGGACCAGAGCAAACCATTTCTTTGGTGGCACTCAATTGGCTGTTGTCTAGTCCAATGTTGTTGTTGTTGTTGTAGCGGCACTACTAAGCCCCGCCTTTTTCGGGTCTACGTTCAATCATTGTCGTCAAGCTCAACTAACGGGAGGCCCAAGAAACGAGCTGTTTCGATGGGTTCGGACCAGAGGGAGAGGGGTGTTAGTTGAGTCGGATTGAGCTGGCATGTAAAGAGGTGGTTGGTGTTGGGGGGACTATCCACATGCCGGGCACTCATTGGGGATATTGGGGTCGAGTCTGGACAGGTAGCTGTTAAGGCGGCTACAGTATCCAGACCGTAATTGAGCCAGGGTAACGCGGGTCTCTCGTGGCAGTTGAAGCTCCGTCTCTTCTACAGGTGGTGATTGGGCTCGTATTACGGCATTCATAGGTCGAGAGTCGAGGTAGGTAGTAACTGACTCTCTATGAATGTCGTTGATGGCTCGTCTGTATGTCGTCGGGTCCAATGGTTGGTCTACGTACTGTTGGACTGCGTCCTTGTACACGAATAGGTGCCCCCTGACGTGCCTGGACGGACGCTCCTCCTGAAGCAACGGTCTGTTAGGGTGTTCACTTCTGTGACACGCCACCTGAAATTGCTTACAGAGCATTTTGTTGTGTTCCCTGACGGGGAGCACTTGGGCCTCGCTGTGCAGGTGGTGCTCAGGCGTCATCAGAAGGCACCCAGTCGCTGTCCGGAGTGCGGCGTTCTGACAAGTCTGTAGCTTCGTCCACTGCGTCCAACTAGTCCCCGGCGTCCAAACTGGCGCAGCATAGTTTAGAACCGGCCGGCCAATTGCCTTGTATGTTGCCAGCAACGTTTCTTTGTCTTTGCCCCAAGTGCTGCCGGCGAGCGCCTTGTTGCGGCTCTGTACTTTATTGACAATTGCGGTTGTGTGCGTGGAGAAGGAAAGCAGGCTATCGAAGGTAACTCCGAGGATTTTCGGGTTATTCGCCGTCGGTTGGGAGGTTTGCTGCTGCCCAGAGGAGCTTCTCGGAGCCGAGCAGGCTCTTCGGGTGTTGGGTGCGTTGCGCGAGCGGGTAGCCGTGGAGGCTGATTGTGCCGTTTGGCTTGAGCAGCAGGGAGCCACATAGCTTGTGGTCCACTCCCGATGAGACCTAAGACCAGAGCAGATTCTTAGGTGACTCCATCCGTTGCATGAGTTGCACCTAACCGAAGTGGAGTTTGGGTGGAGTCGATTCTGGCAAACACAGCAGAAATACGTTTCTGGTCCGGGGTTGGGCTCTACGCCCGCCCGGAGAAGAAGGATGCGGAGCAATCCGGCTGCAAGGAGTTGCTCCATGGACGAACAATGACTGAGGGGTATCGCCGATCTAAGCGGGGTTAGGTAGCCGAAACAACAGCCTTTGGTCGGGTAAAACCCGAGTCATTCCGGTACGTAGAACCGGCTGTCTTGGGAATGTGTCTAGTCCAATCAATAACGACGGTTTAATTGCTGAATAACTGGCTATAGGTAAATTGCTTAAGTGTCTATAATTATTTCGGTCAAAAGATTGCGTTGGTAAATCTAAATGTTTTATCGTATGTACATTCTTCAACTGGAATGACGTCTTATGATCAACTCCACTTATTTGTAAATTCAGTATACGGAATTGTTCACTAATTTGTTTTGTATTGTACCACTGTAAGGTGAGTGAAGTACTACGGCCTTTGATGCCGAGCTCGTCCGCAATACTTTCCTCGAGGAGTGTTATCGATGACCCTTCGTCGAGCATAGCATAAACTGTAATGCTTGTTCGAGGTCCATCAACCAACCAATTTGAAAATGTCTCTATAGTTGGATGCCCTAACATCCCCGCTGCACATCGACTCCATTCAAATTGCTTTGAAGCCGGTAACTTTAGGACTAATTCCTCTAACAACATCGGGTTGAGCAAATGATGCTCACAATTCAAAGGCGATTTCAAAAAGGCGACAATGTTCCGTACTAGATTTGAAAAAAAACCAACAATTTTATCAACACGACTCTCGACTATTAGAGGAAATTGTTGAATCTTGTGCATTTGCACTCGAACTAACGAACGAAATTAAATTGCAATTCCCCAATCACTTGTGACACATTGTCTGGAAAAACTAGTAATGATGAAACGACACGTTTTGCGTTTCCTTGCAACGCTTTATGTAATCTCATTAAATTTTGGCGATTGTTGTATCCAAACTCTCTCGTTGTGTCATAGTAGCATGCTCTAAACAGAGGCCAATCTTCCGGGTTACCATCGAAATTGGGCAATGGATATAACTTCACAACTGAACTGTTGACGTATGAAATTATACCTCTCTGTAAGTTATTGGGCGGCTGTGGCAAAAACTGTGGTGGTGATGTCGTACTCTGCTGATGAAATTGCGTAGCTGAAGCTGGATACTGTGCAACTCCCTGTGAGTTATTGGGCGGCTGTGGCAAAAACTGTGGTGATGATGTCGTACTCTGCTGATAAAATTGCGTAGATGTAGCTGGATACTGTGCAACTCCCTGTGAGTTATTGGGCGGCTGTAGCCAAAACTGTGGTGGTGATGTCGTACTCTGCTGATGAAATTGCGTAGATGTACTGGATACTGTGCAACTCGATGCGGCTGTGATTCATTAAAATCCCCCATGACATATCGATTTGAAACTGATGTCGGTGTTGTGTAGTTTTCGGCTGCATATGCATTTGACTGTGTAACTGCCGTGTGGCAGTTGTGACGGCGACGTCGTTTCCTTGAACAGGCTCATTTAATGCACGAACAGCGTTGGTGTTATTGCACATTCTAAGTTCAAGTTCAAGTGATGATGTCGTACTCTGCTGATAAAATTGCGTAGATGTAGCTGGATACTGTGCAACTCCCTGTGAGTTATTGGGCGGCTGTAGCCAAAACTGTGGTGGTGATGTCGTACTCTGCTGATGAAATTGCGTAGATGTACTGGATACTGTGCAACTCGATGCGGCTGTGATTCATTAAAATCCCCCATGACATATCGATTTGAAACTGATGTCGGTGTTGTGTAGTTTTCGGCTGCATATGCATTTGACTGTGTAACTGCCGTGTGGCAGTTGTGACGGCGACGTCGTTTCCTTGAACAGGCTCATTTAATGCACGAACAGCGTTGGTGTTATTGCACATTCTAAGTTCACTACGAATTTGCTTATTATCACGACTCAGCTCACTGACTGCTTCTTTCAACAAATGTATGCTTGTCAATAACGCTGACATTTGCTCATTCGAAGAATCTTCTGTCTTTGCTTCCATTGTGTTTCCTTCTACCAGTGTTGTGTTTATGCTGTCCGAATTATCTGCAGTTTCTTCATCTATATCTTCTACATTATTTCGTTCCGCATTCTCTGCATTATCTACGTTCTTCTTTGCCTGATTTCTAGTGTGCATTTCGGCAGTTATCTTCAAAAAGGCGAAACGACCACTATTTCTGCAACAGGTCTTATTGGCAAACGAAGATTATGTATTCTTGAAAATCTGCCTGCAAACGCAGTCTACCTGACTGCTGCTACTGAAGCAGCGAATGGTGACACTGGCTGACAAACTAACTGCGCTACTGAAGCAGCGACGTTGCCTACGGTTCTGATGAAACGACGAGTCTTGTGACTCTTCCTGCTACTGAAGCAGCGACGTTGCCTACGATTCTGATGAAACGATGCTACTTAAAGCGACGAGTCTTGTGACTCTTGCTGCTACTGAAGCAGCGACGTTGCCTACGATTGTGGCGAATGGTGAAATTGGCTAATGAAACCGACTGCGCTGCTGATGCGACGACTGTTGTGATTGTTGCTGCTACTGAAGCAGTGACGCTGGCTACGATTCTGATGAAAAGATGCTACTGAAGCGACGAGTGTTATTCCAAAAGAACAGCGTCAAGCAAAAGTATGGCTGCCTTTAATATTTTTCAATAAAATAAATTTAACCGGTACGGCAATGCTTATACGAGAAAGCAATTTGGTAAACTTTAATGTCGGAAAAACTAGCGAAGTATCGAAATAAAACACTTATTTTAACTAGCCTTCCTGGCTATATGAATATTTATTTCACTATCTCGTTGAGCGATAAGTATTGCCTTACAATATATGTATGATGCTTAGAATTTAGTTGATTTAAGTTTCACGAATGAAAAAATGCGCATGCAAGTGCGCGTTACCAAATTGGTGCCTTTTCCACGCTCAACTGAAATTTTGAATTCATTTTCTTCGGTTGAACGCAGAGTCGTATTTTCGAGTTATGTATGTATCTATGCATCGAACTCATTTTCGAATATTTAAGGTCTAATTAACACCCTACTTGGATTTTGGAGGTTTGGAATTATCCGAGAAGGACGTATCTTGCTCGATTAATGAGCTTAGTAATTCGAAGCAGGCTGATGCTCATGAAATTTCTGCATTTTTCCTCAAACAATGCATTACTCCAATCGCTGAACCACTTACACTTTTGTTTAACATGTCTCTCAAACTGGGCATTTTTTTGGATGAATGGAAATTAGCTTTTGTTACTCCTGTTTTTAAAGCAGGTGATAAATGCCAAATTTCCAACTACAGACCTATTTCTAAACTCACTAACTTTTCTAAATTGTTTGAAAAAGCTGTTAGTACTAAAATGACCTTTGCAATTAAGCCGTTTATATCTATTTCCCAACATGGTTTTATCCTGGACGCTCAACTGTTACCAACCTAGCAGTATTCTCAAATTACTGCATCTCTTCTTCTGTCGATGGATGCCAGGTTGATACTATATACACCGTTATATCGAAAGCATTTGATAGAGTTTGTCATAGGTTACTATTGTGTAAGTTATACTACGTTCAAATTGACGAGCTAAACATGTTAAATGGGCTTGAACCAGTTAAATGAATAAAACATGTTCATAAACAAGTTAATTCGCATGCAATTGTTGTTGGAAAATTGAACCAGTTAAATCATTTAACTCGTTTGAAAACCAGTCAGCGCAGAGTTGTATCAGAAAGCTTTCTGCTCCGGCCAATCAGAAAGACCCAAAAGCTTTCATTTGACACGCCAACTTTCAAAAAATTTATATTCTGAAAAATATTAAAAATTAAAAATTATCAAAAAATATCAAAAAATATCAAAATTGTATGCATGTCTGCCCGCCAAAAAAGAGGCAAAGGCGGTAATAAGTTATTTCCCATGAGGTCTCATCGTACGCAGAGATAAATAGTGCATAGGATCTAAACATTTTGAAGTCTCTAAGTAATCCGTATGCGTTAATATCATGAAGCAGACATTCGCACAAAACAAATTGAAACCCAAAAACTTGATTTGAATATTTTTTTTAGAATTTTTATTGGTAATCAAACAACCGTCAAAGTTAACTCCAAGTGTTCAATGTGGACGATTGTGTTTTCCGAAAAGTTCTTTTTCATTTAACAAGTTAAATGGGGCCAATTTGAACGTAATATTACGCTGTTTTGGCTTTCACTCCAAGTTTCTGGATTGGCTGAAATCCTATCTAGTCAACAGGGTCAACTTTGTATCAGTGGATAGTGTAAAGTCTCATGCATATGTTGCTACTTCGGGCGTTCCCTAAGGCAGCATATTAGGTCCGCTACTTTTCTTAATTTTTATTAATGATGCCAGTGCTTGTTTCAAACAATGTAATCACCTCTTATATGCGGATGATTTGAAAATTTTTAAATATGTAAAAACTAACTCTGATGAGTTAAATATCTTCTGCGACTGGGGTAAGCGAAATAAGCTAGAACTAAATATTAATAAGTGCTGTTTTGTGAGGTATTACAAAATATGTTCACCTCTGCAGTCGTCTTATCATATTTCAGACTTCGCTATAAGCTCCTATAATAAAATTAAAGATTTTGGGGTGGTGTTTGACTCGGGCTTCACGTTCATTGAGCACCTAAACTACATTATTCCCAAGGCATACTCGTCACTGGCTTTCATAAAGAGGAATAGCTCTGAATTTAAAGATCCCTATACTAAAAAAATTGTATACAATGCTTTCGTGAGATCGAAACTGGAGTATGCGTCTGTAATTTGGAATCCTTATTTTGATACGCACTCAAAAAGAGTAGAGCGTTCTACGTTGGAAGCTTTCCGTTCCCAATGTCCAGTAATTGTTGCGAGAATACTTCGGCTGCTGTGTATGTATGTTCGTCTTGTCGCAATGTTGACTACATATTTCAGGCAAGCATTTATCTCGTCCGCTAGTGTTAATCGAGAAACTAAAGACAATGTTTGCGTAAAGTCNTGATAATCAGAATCATAATATTATTATCTCATGTTATTCAAAATTTCTTTACTCGCAATATACGTAGTAGGCTATGGCGACCCCAACGAAATTGTTTTGATTAAAAGTTAACAGATTTATAACGCTAGGGAATGGTGTCAACAATTTTAAGTTTTCACTAAGTATTTTTTAAACAGCTTTCATGTGATAGTTTTTTGTTTTCGTTACTCTTTATCATTTTGTTATTTGTTTCAGCAGTTTTTAACCCACTTCAAAAAAAAGAGGAGAAGGTTATCAATGCGTCGGAATANAGGTCTCATCGTACGCAGAGATAAATAGTGCATAGGATCTAAACATTTTGAAGTCTCTAAGTAATCCGTATGCGTTAATATCATGAAGCAGACATTCGCACAAAACAAATTGAAACCCAAAAACTTGATTTGAATATTTTTTTTAGAATTTTTATTGGTAATCAAACAACCGTCAAAGTTAACTCCAAGTGTTCAATGTGGACGATTGTGTTTTCCGAAAAGTTCTTTTTCATTTAACAAGTTAAATGGGGCCAATTTGAACGTAATATTACGCTGTTTTGGCTTTCACTCCAAGTTTCTGGATTGGCTGAAATCCTATCTAGTCAACAGGGTCAACTTTGTATCAGTGGATAGTGTAAAGTCTCATGCATATGTTGCTACTTCGGGCGTTCCCTAAGGCAGCATATTAGGTCCGCNATTGCGCTAAATTTTTTAACAGGTGGCAACCCTCCTTCAAAGTATTTTCACACAGATGCACTTGTTTTTAAAGCTACTTCGCTCGTGTTTAATTGGGANTTATAT